GTGCACCACCCACGCATAGTTTTGGACAGACGCTGGAGATACGAACACCAGTCACAGTAAATCGTTTAAAGTGAGACAAATTATGGAACTAGCTGTGGAGAGGAATAGTTGTTACGTATTCAGTGTTTCTACAACCTAAGTGGTGTTTTTGTAGTGTCCCTGTGTAACGTCACAGTAGATGTTTCATATGTCAGTTATTTTCAGTCCCAAACAAGACATCTTTTAGTCATTTGAAACTATTTTTTTATTTCATTTGCTCTTAGTTTGAATCTTAATAATTAATGCTTTCCATCTCTTGAGCTCTTGTTCCAGCTTCTCACTTGGTTCAAAACAACATTTTTCTTTATTCTGTGAAACGTTCCTCTTCTTTTTGGCACATAGTGCATTATGGTTGGGTTTTTACGTGTTTTGCAAATATTTTGGGTTTTGAATCATTCAAAATAGAAGAAAGGGGAGAAGGGAAGAAGTATAATAAAAAAAGACACATAGTGGTCATAATGGGCAATTATCAACACATGTGTTGAGGCACATGCACGTGGATGTGTTTGTGTGGAAGACAATTTCTGGATAATTATGTTTCAATGAGCTTGGGGCCCTCTGCAGCTACAGGTTATTAAAATATCCCTTTATCTGAGCTATAACAATGGACATCACATCCCCTCGCCTTCCTTTTTAATCTCTACTTTTATCTCCCTCGTACTGCATCTCACCCTTCATTCTCATTAAAGTGAGGAGTTCACACTTTCATAACGATTTAATGGCCGTGTGCTGAGGCAGGCACCTAAGATCTGGCTCACAACAATTAAGAGCTTCTATCCATATAATAGATTTACTAATGCAAGTTATGTGGCAGCGAGCTGTTTAACAGAAGGGCAATTATTTACCAAAGAAGGTAAAAAAAAAATCCTCAGAGTGTTTATGAGCCTCAACAACATTACATTTCTGTTCTGTTGTTCCTCATTATTCTGTGGCACAGAATGGTTAAATCATTATCCTGATAGAGAAAACACACTGTAATTCAGCTGTGCCTGCTGAATGTAACAGGCAGTGGATACATAATCACTCTGCTCGGTAATGGTTTTGCGTAGTTGGTGTGCTCATAAAGATGGTCAATAATGATGACACACAGTCAGTTCAGTGTGGGTTGTTTATTTCTAGTCTGTATTGGTAAAATGCGTCCTGAGAAAATCAAAGATCCAAAGCTATTAGTGCAGGAGGTGACAAATTGCTGTCGAGAGGGAAAGAGAGCTCAAATGCAAATGCAAATAGAGACAGAATACCTGCTATTATTAGCAATAACACATAGATTTTTGGACATGTCTTTTCTTCAGAATCTGCAGTGTGGTAAATAAGGTCCAAGCTCTTGTATAGTAACTGGTGGCTCTACAGCAGACTACATCTATTTAAGGTCTGATTCTCTGAAATATGTTTTTTTTTTTCAGTCAAATTCTTTTTATACAGGTTTATTCTTATTTGCTTTATTTCCCTTCCTTAACTGCAAGGCTAACCTCTCAACAGATCAGATGATTATAAATCTGGGGCATGCTGTTCAGTTTCATAAACAGCAACATAACCTCAGCTTCCTGCTCGATTTACCTCATAGCAGGTTGGGATTTTAGTTCTAGAAACATTTCTTCAGCTCAAACGCACAAGCAGACAAACATATGTTCACTGGACACGTCAGTTATGCCCTGTTGGAACTGGATTGGAGACCATCTTACCTTGAGAACTGTTCTAATTATTCATGGTACAGATTCAACAAGGTGCTGAAAACATTCCTCAGACATTGGTGCATATCGGCATGATAACACCACACTACTGCTGCAAATCCTTGATGTAAATCTCCTGTTTCACCACACCCTGAGCTGCTTTAATAGATTAAGATCTGCTGACAATGTAGTGAACTCACCGTCATGTTCCAGAAACCAGATTTTCACTTTGCAACATAGAAATGGTCAGCGCCAATACTCAGGTGGCCTGTGATGTTAGTTAATGCTCCACTAGTACTAAGGGGCACAACGTGTTTTTACAGTATTATTACACAACCACATTATTACATCACTACCACCAGTAACCACTGGTACCATTCATGCTGTCTTGTTGTTTGCACCCAATTGTAACCCTCCCATTCCAGTGCTGCAACAGAAATCAAGACAAAAAGCTTTCATCCCTGTCTTCTGGTACACAGTTTTGGTGATCCCATGTGAATTATAACCGCAGCTTCATGTTTTTAGCTAACAGAAGTGGCACCCAGTGTGGTCCTCTGCTGCTGTAACCTGCTTCAGTTTTTTGATATGTTGTGCATCTAGAGATGGTCTTCTGCATTCCTTTGTTGTAACGAGAGGTTTTTTTGAGTAAGGATTGCCTTATAAGCTCGAAGCAGTCTGCTGATTCTCCTCTGACTTCTGACAACAACAAAGCATTTTTGCACAGAGGGCTGCTATTTACTGGGTAATTTCTTCTTTTTGGGCTCTTTATTGTAAACCGTAGGGATGGTTGTGTTGAAAACTCCCAGCAGATCAGCAGTTTCTAAAACACTCAGATCCACCACCTGATGCCAACAATCATGCTGTGCACAGCATTAAGTCCCTTAAATCATCTCTTGTCACCATTCTAATACTCAGTTTGAATTTCAGTAGGCCATCTTGACCAATGGCCAGTGCATATTTATCTGTTGGTGACGATGAAAAACAGTAATTAAACAGTAATTACTCATCAACATAAAAAAATATCCCTCACAGGCCTTTTTCATTTGTATAAAGAGAGCAGAAAGATACCATACGTGAAGCACAAACTTAAACAAGCTTCTTAATGTAATTTGTAATGTGCACACACCAACTTATGCTTAGAGAGGAATGTGAGAAAATGAACTTCACTAACATTAGAACCTGGTATCTGTGGTGCAGCAAATTGATTCAGCAGTAGGGCTCATAAACTCTCTGTAGCATGCAGTAATTATCACAGCAAATCTCTGCCTGATGAAGTTATTTTTGTCCAGTGCTGAGTGCTTAAACAGAGAGTGAAAATAATGAGCCACTGTGGTGATTTCAGTCTGTGTTTTTTTAGTCACAGCAGTCTTCGGCATTTTGTCTCTTTCAGGGAAATGACAATAGTTATATCGTCTTTGTGTGGTTCAATTCAGATTTTTAACTTTACATAATGTTTACATTTAATATTCACCCATATCGGAAAGAGTTGTATTATCATGTAATACATGCTAGACCACAAGTGACTGTGACCACAGTAAAAGTGGGCACACCTTCAGCTGTGTGTGTACGACTGCTTTTAGAGAGATAACTAGAGCAGATATACTGGATTCATGTTCACATTTACTACATTCACCCACCTTGTCCCCCAACTGTCTATGCTGAGTCTGACTGTCACACATTAGTCTGCACTGGATGTAACAATACCTGCATGCAGTAGCAGTGGCACATCTGTCATAGAAATGCTGCAGGTTGAATTGTTAGTGGAATTAAAATTATCCAGCCGATAAAGAGCAACAGAAGGATGAAATCACAGCTGCAGCTGAGGTCCGAGCAATAACCACACCGAGGCACCGCCTCAATCTTCAATGCTTGACAAACATCTGCATCTCAGCCAGTGGGTGTATAGAGATTGGTTATTAATAAGTAAAGAGCAGTAAATATTTGCTTAGTTTTCCCTTAACTTGAACGATACAGTAATTGGGCTGGTGACAAATACACCAGCTGTTCATATGGACTAGAAGGAATACAAAGGTTTTGGTATGTTTAAATCCTGTACACTCTACCTCTAACAATAAAATTAGATCATACTGTGTATAAAATATTCACACTTGTAGTTTTCTAGTTGTTAATTTGCTACAACTATAAACTGAGTGTTCAGGATTTATTTTTCCATGTCACGACAAAATATAGCGCTTACATCATAAATGAGAATATTTTTTAAAAATGCTAAAGATGTATCTACCATAAAAAAAGAGATAAAAAAAATAAGGTACTCCTTCTGTCTGCCTTAGAAGTAGTACCTTATACAAGTTAAGTGTAGTATTTTTGTGTATTATTTTATTTCAAGTGAATAATTTTTCCCAGAACTCGTAATTTACCACATTTTTTTACGTCTTAGGGGAATTAACCTGATGCATTTTCCTTTATCTAAGTACTAATTCACTTTGCAAGCAGCCTGCATATTTCATTAATGGTCCATCTCTTCCCTGCTGAAAATAGTTATTTGGCATTGTATTTGGTTTAGTATATTATTGTGACCTTTACATGTGTTCACAATTCTGTTTTATCTAGTTGTTATCCCCGGTTGGTGTTGTAGCACCCAGATGCACAAACCACATTTCAACTCCTGCCCTGTATTTGAACTTGAGGCACTTTTACAAATGTCTGCCATGCCTGTTTACGTGTCCTGTTAAAGGCCATGGCTGGTTTGTAGTTGTACTAAATGTGGATGATATATTTTATGAAGCACCGAATAATGGTTAATATAAAAAATGATCTAAAAGATATTAAGTCAGGTTTCATTCATGGTCTGACCTTTACAGTTGGTAGAGCAGGATACATCTTCACAGGTCTGACTCACATATGGAGGCGTGTCTCCCTGTAGGCATCAAAATGCTGCATCCAAGTTAAATCAGCAATACTGAGTGCATGACGTGCATGCCTCTATAGCACTTACAGGTGCATCCACACCTGCATGGGTACAGAAAAAATGACACCTACTGCAGATAGGGTAACTCCATGACCCACATTTGTTTTTATAAATGAAAAACCAGAAGATGCAAAGTACTTTGAACTATATAATATAACCAAATTATGTAGATATCAATCATATATAAAACATAACACAAATAAAGCATGTCTGAATGTTTTCTCATAGACTCAACCAAGAAGCTGAAGGATGTGCTGCAGGAGTTCCATGGAGATGGTGTGTTGGCTAAATACAATCCAGAAGAGGTATGTTCAGTTTATACTGGATTATATAACACATAGTTTATAGTCTATTGACTCAGGAAATGCCAACAGCAAGCATATATCACACTTCAGCATTCCTTTCCGAAAACATGAGTAAGTGATTTAGAGAGATTTTAAACATGCATACATTTTAAATATAAAACAATAATCAAGAATGCAACTTAAAAAAAAATGCATACTCAACTACTAATTGCTGCATCATAACAGTTCACAAATCTCTAATTCAACAACAGATAATCACAACTACATAACTGCAATTTCAAAATGTGTGTAAATATGTGATGTGCTTATTTTGTGCATTTTAAATGACATAAGCATGTGATACTTCCATGAATATGTCGCGATTCTTTCTTTCTTCAATGCTGCGGAGTGTAGAAGCAGGAAATTCTCAGCCAGGTATCTGCTGTCTCTTCCTCTTGATTTATTTTTCATTTATTGTCTGTGTTTTTCTAGTTTCTCTAATCACTAAATAATTGAACTCTCTTAAGGATTGTAGAAACGTCTAGAGGCAATGCAGCCTATTGCAGGAAAATATTAAACCCTTAAAGTGTTTACCACAATCAGGTAATAACCACGTGCGTGAGCAAAATGACATTAAAAAAATAGGCTCACTGTTGTATCTGTCTGAACACAACTTGCAAATTGATACAGCTAGCAAAACACAACAAAACAAAAACAGTTGTCATCAAAGCTGCATAAAAAGGCATCTGTATGAAGGCCACACATAGTGCAGTAAATAAAAGAAGCTAAAACCCAGTGCAAACAACAATTCAGACATAGCCGAGTACAAAAATGTGCAACATTTTGCAAAATATTGAAATGATACTAAAAATCCTCGGCATTTCACTCAAACCTGAATTCAACAACTAGCGCTCTTATTTTTATTTTGTTTTAGGAGATTGACTTCCAGGGCTTTAAGGTCTTTATGCAAACATTCCTGGAGAGTGAACTCCCCGAAGAGTTCTGTCAACACCTTTTCATGTCGTTTAGCAACAAAGGACCCAAACCCAGTCCCTCATCTTCTGACAAACCTCGAGTCTCTGGTAAGTGTAGAAAAGAAATTCTTTCCCTAACATGCCCTCAGTTCATAAACACAGCATGTTGGTGTTTTATAGTCAGTGATGTGTATAAGAAAACATCCCCACTTGTGTTGCTAAGCTTCAGCCAATATGTCAGTTATTCTCGTCCTTCACGGCGCTTCTTTTGGGGATTGTTATTGTCATCGTAGAGAATGAATCACTTTACTCTTCCTTTGCTGTGTGAAAAAAAAAAATGGCGCCATCACTGTTTCTGTTTTGTGCCATTGGACAATTTATTCAATTTAATGCCAAGTCCAGCCCGATGGCACTCGGTGTAAATTGTAGTGTAGAAGCTGCCAATTGTCTTGGCAATAGTTTTGTTTGTTTATAGCAATATACTAATGTCTCATTTGTGTGTGGTAATGACTAACTGATATTGAAATAATACTTAACACTTCAGATCAGTCATCATTCAGACAGCATCTCCTGCACTGCCACTTGGCTTTGACACCTCCTTGACTGCCTACCACCTCAGATAATTAATAATAAAGACCGTCTCGTGTCACTGAGTGCTAAAAAGCAACATGTGTTTTATCTTCAAGTGACCAGGCTCTCTAGCTCTCATTAGATAAGGTTTTTATGAAGTTTCATTGCCCACAGAGGAAGGAGGTGGGGTGGATGATTTGAATGTTTGAGACAATAAACTCAGAGTAAATTGGGCAAAACAGTCCTGGTATTGTTTTTATTACGCTTCAAATATTCGCCGCCTTTAATAAATCCTCAATAAAAATGTCAAAATACAAAATGTAATCTTAATTTATGGTTTTCATAAACTGAACAATAAACTTGTATAACCATAATGTTCAGTTTATTGTGGTAGATTTCTCCAGTGTGATATCATGACACACAAGGTGACTAAGCAGTGAGAACAGTGTGTATGTGAACTAGCTATTGACTATACTGCCAGAGCTCGAGTTGGCTAATCCCCTGCTTCAGCTTTACTTCATGTATAATAGGTCCAAAAGGAAAACTTAAGCAGATCACTCAAGGTTTAAAAATAAATAAAAGAAAATGGGGGAAAAAATATTTTCTCTTCCCATAATAAATAAAAAAGGTGTTTAAACATGTGTTTGTCTGCTTTATAAGAACAAATACATGAAACGTATATAAACTTAATAGCAATGTTAACAACAATATTAATAATGAACTTTCTTGTTTGTATATATATATAAGTGTGTGTGTGTGTGTGTGTGTGTGCGTGCGTGTGTGTGTGTGTGTGTGTGTGTGTGTGTAAATGAGTAGATAAATAAATAAAAATAAATACAATAAAATAGATAAAGCCCAAACCAAGAGATTCAGTTAAAACATAACATTTCCATATTGTGTGCATTCTTTCCTACTGGTGAAGCATTAACATCTGGTACCAAATATTCTGAATTTCTTTGAATACATTCAACCATTTTTAAGATAAAGCTTCTTCTTTTCTTTTTACATGCAGTGAACAAATCTGTCATAAGCACTCTGTTTTTTGGAGGATACCTTTTCTGGCATAGTGCATAGATAGAAAATCATATCTAAGATGGTAGTCGTAAGTGTATATTGTTATTTAAGTGGAGAACTTTTTGGAATAATAGGTTGTCTAACAAAAACATCAGCTTTGTTTTATGAAACAAGACAGCCGCACCATCTGTGTGAAATGTCAGCTTCAGATAAAGTACAACTGGACCTCATTCTAAGTGCCCTAACAATAATTTCAAAACAAACTCAGAATTGTCATGACTCCCAGCTTTGGGAAAGATAACCTTGTAGTGGAGCTATTCACAAATTTCTGTTAAAACTATGTTAATAATGCGTAGCAAATGTTTGTGCAAGCTTGATTAAATGTAAAATGTTCATAACTAGGTTTCCTCCAAAAACATTGTATTGTTCCTAATTACTGTGAACTTAAATAACAATAACTAAAAATGATGTGTGTGGGCTTTAGTTGTTACATTTGATTTGAAGAACAGTTAAAATAATGGAATTGCCTCCCAGATTGAGACGTTTCTGCCATTGAACCACAGGAAAAAATTAGTTTATTATAGAAAGGTTATAAAAAAATGTTCTCCAGTTACTAGTCTTATTCTGTGACTGGAAATTGAAAACTTTCCTTGTGGGGATT